AAGACACGCTCAGGTGGAAGTTGATAGAGATCCGTCGAAAACATTCTAATATGAGAATAAAGTCCTTAGAACTTACTCTCTCTTGTCTTAGAATAGGTTGAGAACTTAGAATAGAAAAAGAACCATATGTGTATAGATATAGATAAAGAACGATTTAGAAAAGAGTGAAGATATAATATTACAGGCTCACCATATCCAAAATTATACATAATTCTCACAGTGTAGTATATTTAACATCAATTTCTTTGATTAATAATTTTGTTTTGTTAATATTGACTCAGAAAACTATCATCGTTTATTGAATCTATATTGACTCGTTTATACTTCTTAGTAGGACTATTTATAACTTTTTATATACAACATCAATTTCTTTCAAAACTTAGCATCATATATTACTATTATAGTAGTCCAAAGTTACGATGAGAAATTCAATAAAATGTTCTCTATCATTTTTATTTAGACCAATTAAGAAACCTTGTTCCTTCGAATTTTAATCCAATTTGTAGTTAAAGCTCTAAATATTATGCGCAGAAAAGGTGGATTGATAGTTAATCAACTATGGTGCATCCAACGGGTATTTAAATATTCAACTTCCTATCAATGCTCACTTACGAACATCAAATCTTAATGTTGCCGAAAAGGTTCTTCTAGAGATTTAGAGGCTTTGGGCGGATATATCTGCCATAGTTGATTTTCTATAAAATCCATTGTACCAGATTTATCCCAACATTTTCAATAGTGGCACAGTATCAGTATCTCAGTAAAATTCTGATAGTGGGGCATACCTAATGCTGATATGAAGATTTATCCCAATATTTTCATCCCACTAGTTCTGAAAAAGTTCCTGTGGATTCCATAAAGATAACCTGACGACGTCGAGAATGGGTTCATTAGATGCAGGATAGTCGACTACCTATGAATTCACGTTGTTTGTGAAGAATATCCCAAGTTTAGAACCAGTAAAAAAATTAGATTTGCCCAATCTGATGAATTTATTTTATTTTACTATCTTCTCTACTAATAGAAAAAAATGTTGCTCTCCCCAATTGCTACTTTATCGAGCCATAGTCATATATTATAAAAAGTATTTTACTTTGATAAATTGATAAGCCAAAGATTTTTTATAAGACTTTTAGGTTCTTTTAAAAAATGTTTAAAAAATTAACTATTTAAAATTATTCCATTGACTGTAAGTCTATGGTAATGAAAAGTAAAGTGTGGTGGGTGTATGTTTGTCCGTACAGGGCTGTGACAGATGTACATACATATATTGATGTGGCAGTGTGATGGATATACATACACATATAGTCACTAATGAGTGTGACGGACATAAATTCACAAAGATAGATACGTTCGAGTTTTCTGTGGAATCAGAGAAGTGAAACACCTATCCTGGCTGCGAGCGCTGACCGAAGGGACGCGTGAGCATTGTCTGGAATTCAGAAATATTTTTAGACCGTTGGGGTTCTTTGGGGACTCTCGAGAAAACTTCTATAGATTAAAGCTACTGCACGGAGCTGACACATCATATCAGAGAAACATTCATAACGCATGGTAGATAGTCTCTAGCGAACACCGACCGAAGGAAGGTGTAAGCGTTGTTTCCATGAACCAGGCCAAACTTTGCTCCCACTTAGGTTATGTTATCAAAGGTAAGAAAACTGATAAAGGACGAGGGCGAAATCAAACACGTCCTATAACACGACAACCCATCAGTATTGATACATTACGTCCAAATCATGTAGTGAAAAAATTAATTGATGAATTTCTTACCAGTCTGAAAACTAAAAATTATGAATTTAAAGTTGGTATTGATGTCAATCGAAACCGAAGGAAGGTGTAAGCGTTGTTTTCATGAACCAGGACAAACTTTGCTCCCCCTTAGGTTATGTTATCAAAGGTAAGAAAACTGATGAAGGCCGGGGGCGACTATTTGATGAAATCAGCCACTGCTAGAATTCCATCGACAGATACATGGTTAGATGAAGAATGAACAGGAGAACATTTCTAGCCACTCGGCAGACCTTAGAAATACTTTCAGAAAAAACTGGGTCCAATAAACTGTAATCACTTCTGACATGTATTATTGATCTTTTTCTCGAGTGTGTCTCTCTCCGCCTCATAAGTCAGCACAACTGATATATTTCAGTTAAAAGCTCTTTTTCTGCGCAATATTTCTGTATATCGCAAATACGGAAATAGTCGTTCAAGGGAAAACTACAGTACCCCTCGCTGTTAGCTGATTCTCCCTACAAACGAATAATTAACACACTTTCTGCAGTCACGCGACCTGCCCACGTTGGTTGTTATTTTCGGTCTATACAGCTTGGGGCTGGTGTTAACACACGAACGAACGAAGAAAGATTGTTTTTGTTTGTCTCTATTCTTTCAGAACGGAAAACGTATTTGCTTGTTTTGATCCAACATAAAGGAACAGAAAAATTTTCTTTCTCTGATCACGTCACGATTCTTTACTTGTAGTTGCAAAATGCTATGAAACTATGACGCGCATAGAACGAAAATATAAATAACATTGGTAAAAGGTAACAGCGAGGGGTACTGTACTTTTTATTATAGCTTTTCATATAACTGTGTAATACTCAAGGTAAGCATGTGAAAATATCCCTAATCAACTCGTCAGAGTGTCTATTTTGAAACTAAACGTTGGATTTTCCCTCAGAGAGTGTAGTTGAGTGTTCTTCCTGTCTGAATTTTTCGGTTTTGCAAATTTGCGTTTTGATTGAGTCAATGAAAAACTAGGAAATACTGGATGTCCCTATGATGGCCCAAAAATAAGAGAAAAGGACCTTTTCCAAAGACTCTTTTTCGCTCCGATTTTATCTAAAAAATCAGTATTTCTCACTGAAAAACCGTCATCAATCTTTTTCGATGTACGTCATTATTGTGAAGAAACTTTTCGGTTCTATTAACATCTTTACAATGAATTCAAAATCTGGTTACTTTTAGTTTTATTATCATTAGGTATGCTACTTCAAAATTTGATAAAAGTTTACTTTGTTCTTTGCTTGGTTCTACCCCTCCACAATATTTTATGATGAATGGGAAAGATTGCAGGTGCTTTCTTCTTTGCAGTGCTTTCTTCTTTATGGCGTACGTGCTACAACAGAAAATTTTGCATTTCTTTATTTGTTCTTTTTAGATGCGGCTTGATTCTTCTCGTTTTTGTATTTTTCCTTTATTAGTCAAAATTAATGTAGTCCACTCAGACGGTTTTTTTTCTGCCATTTATTGATCTCAGAATCGATTTTCATTATTCCGGATTTGACGATGCTTCCATGCACTTTAATTTAAAATTTGATTTACTTTAATTTTCCGTTTGACTTAAAAGTAAATTGATATTTATCTAGGTTCAGAAAAACAAAATAGTCCATATTGATATGTATCAACGTGTATCATCTAACTCAGTCCAGTGTTTAAATTTTATGTCATTACGTATAAAACATCTATATTTCAGATACCACTTTTATAATTCAATTACAATTTCAGATTATCGTCTACGAATAAAAACAAAATGAGTAGTTCTACTAGTAGTTTAAATGAAACCGTCAGTAAAAACAGCAACAAGAAAACAGTGTATGATATTCCTACAACTGTCGAATTATTAAAAGCATTATTCGAACGTGAAAATTATTGTTTCAGTTCATTTTCATCCATTGATCATACTAAAATAGTTCAAACAGTAACTGAAAATTCTCAAAGACAAAATCAATTAAAACCAAGACCTGGGCACAATTTTTAATAATAACATGGTTAAATATGAAATTTGTTCAGTTCAGTCATTAAATTCAACGTCATCATCATCATTATCTACGACTACCTCAAATGACAATCAATGTAAATCAATTTGGCTTCCAACATCTATGACAATTGGCGAAGCTCGTCGTATATTATCTACTATATTATATAGTACAAACAATAATTCTATACCTGCTGATTTTTTCTGACTATGTTTTAGTATATGAAAATATAATGATTTCATTAGAAAATGATAGTAAAATATTATTTGAAGAAATGTTAAAAATTTCATTCCGATTAAATCGAGTGGCATTACCACCATTTCGATTATTAATTATTCATAAATCTCAATTATTATTATTAGAACGTAAAGAATCAAAATTATTATTAACAGAACACAAATCAATTTCACTTTTAGAATTGATTATGTATCATTTAATTATAAATAATATTAATCAATCAGAAATAGTAAATAGTGACTATATTACAAGTCATACTACTAGTAGTAACGATAAAAATGATGAATATTGGCCAATATGTGAAATTAAAATGGGAATAATTCCTTCAACACAATTGATTCATCCATTAAAACATAATCAATTACGTCGAATTATTGGTAAAATCATACAAACTACTGATATATCAACAAAATTAAAAATTAATTTCAACACTTGTCTTAAATTATTAGAAAATGTATCTGTTTCAGTTAATACGGATATATTAGACATTAAATCAATAACACCACATTTATCAAAAGTAATAGAAGTATATGATTATCCATTATTAGTAGCATTTTCCTACGATCGTTTAGTTTTATCTCAATTTACTAATATTCAATGTTCAGATGGTCGATTGGCTCACGGAGTAATGACTAATGGCAAGTATTATTCATTGAGTAATAAAGCATATAGTCATATGTCAGAATTAGAAGTTGATCGTGGTTCTGTTATTCAATTAAGATTTAATACTCAATCTGAAACTATCTCAAATGAAAAAACATCATCTTTTCAAATGAATGAAGTAGAAATTAAAGAATGTTATCAAAAAGCGTCTGGAATTGATAAATCTAAATTCAGTTCAGAAAACTACCAATATTCAGCCGAATTTGATAATAATACAGTTTGTTTAATGTTCCCACCTAAAGCTATTGATTTAATTATATCAATTAATGAATTAAAACAAAAATCAGACAATGTTAATGTGAAAACTATTGTTGCTAAAGATAATACAATAAGAAGTTATTTAAAATCAAATCTTAAATCATCAAGTAATTGGATTGATTCAACAACAAAAATCAATACGTTAAAAGAAGAACTGGAAAAACTTAATATTGAAAAAACAGATTCTACTCGAACATCATCTGAAAACAATTCTTTAAATCAAATTTTAACTACTGAACTTTAATTAGCTCACATAATGCATGATTCTCTTAGTTCTGCTACATTAATTACTCAGGCTTCAACTTCTTCATTACCATCGATAGATAAACCTGAATGTTCGAATTGTTTATCAATTCTTAATAATGATAATTTGGAATGTCCAACTTGTACAAATGTGTTTTGCAGAATATGTATTGAATCAATTTATAATCATCCAAACGGTAATCATTGTTGTCCAATATGTTATGAACGAGTGGCATTATCAGCATATCGTAAATCAATTATCATTGAGAGATTTGAAAAAGAAGGAATTTTAGCATTTAAATGTTTAAATTGTAATACGATACCGGAAAAACCTAGACTGTGTCTTGATCCAGAATGTTCAGCTTTATTCTGTTATGATTGTTATAAAAAACTAGCTGAACATCCTTCAGCTAATACTACAGTTTCTGATTTCGCTAAAACTATCAAGTGTCCTCGTTGTAAAAATGCTGATATGTATTTAAGTTGTGCTGTGCTATATTATACTGGTCGTATCATTGAATATCAAATGACACAAGAATCAGAATCAAATGCAAAAAAATCTGCAATAACCAAATCATTGCCAAATACTATATGGAAACAACGAGCTTGGTTACCTGAAAAAGGAATAATAGAAAAAAATCATAACCGAATAATATCAGTTATCAAATTTAATGGTGACCATATTACATTTGATAATGAAAAAGGAAATTGTCCATTATTAATAATAAATGAGCCACCTGAATACACATGTCCTGAAAGTCTTCGACTGAGTTATTGGACTACTGAAAATGAAATTAATCAATGGGAAGATGATGATAACATTAAATTTTATCAACATAGTCAGAGTTCAATTGCAGCATATATACCACATTTTTCAGATTTTACTGCTCGCAATATTCGATTTACTGAACATATTAGCTTAGATACGACGTATCTTGATACCACTTATGACTATGATTTTACGACAAAAACTGATACTGATAAAAGTTATCAACGGGGTCTTGAACCCTATACAAGACCGTGCGGATGGTATAGGAAAGCTATTAAAGTAGTTGGTGTATATGAAGATGCTGTATGGTTAGGTAAAGACATAAATGCATGGCCTGTAGCTTATCACGGTACATCGACGACAAATGCTTTAGGTATATTACGTACTGGTTTACGAGCAGGTGGAAGTGAAAATATACCTGTAATTAACGGTGCTCGTTTTGGTTCGGGTATATATTTATCACCCAACCCGTCGTTCTCAGGCAAGTCACAATATGCTAAACCAGTACGAAAGAATCATCGAGAATATCAAATTATGTTTCAAGTTAGAGTTAAACATCCTTCAATTACAAAGCACACAAGCGATATATGGATATGCACTAATCCACAAGATGTTAGACCTTATGGAATATTATTTAAAGAAACTTAATATTAATATAATATTAACGTGTCATGCAATTTTTAATTTATGAAATTATTACTGTTTATTTTATCTTTTCAGAAATAGTCCAAAATTTTTTAAGACTGATTCACTTATAAAAATAAACACATTCTTATTTCTCCAAGCAAAAATAGAGATTTTCTGACACTGCTGCTTTTCACTTTGGACAAGAATTTATTTGTGAAAACGGATACTCACAGTAGTCTACTTCAAAAGATAAGTAAAATGGAAATGATGAGTGCTAGTTAACGATTGAACAAGTAGAAGACTAGTCGTCGTAAGAGAATTGTAAGTATGTTCCTGTCCGTATTCATATATATGTATATGTTTATAAATGCTTGGGATTCTGGGATTTTCGATACAGAGTGACATGTGCGGTTCGTTTTTCTATTCTAAGACCTGTAGTTCAGCAGATACACTCTATATCTGTATTATGACATATCTGCTGCTATATCAGAAAGAACAAAGTATTTCGATTTATACTCGCACAATTCATTGCTACATTTATTAGACATATCTGCTGGTTGAAATGATTGTTAGGAAAAAATAATATGACCTTTTCGATTTCGACCGTGAAGGGCTCTACGATCTTTGAAGTAGACACAATCTGTGAAGGAAGTGCTTTAAGGTCCCGTAATTGCCGACCAGCAGCAGTTCTGCGAGCTCTATATCATATGTGTAGTATCAGCAAATTCTGAGATATTTTATTCTCAGATCTGTATCACTTCTTCAAAAAACTCACTCTCATATCTGTGGCAGCGGGAACCTCTTGTTGGTCTGTTAATGACTGCCTGGAAGTTGCCATTTACTTTGTTTTATATATTCTTTGAAAAAGTAAATTTTTTATGAAATATTTCACTGGCAGATACCTGCAATTTCGGGGATATCGTCCGAAATTTATAGAAAACAAGAAAGATAACCAAGCATAGGAAGGGTTTACTTATCGGGGAAAAAACCACCGACATTCCACGAACATATCCATTAGATCCAATTGTCTGCTTTCGACTTCAGTTGGAAAAAAAAAGCGGATATACATTTATAATCTATTGAGTTGGCGCAAGACTATGAGTGAATGATCAACATAAACGGGAAAAGGGCAGTTCCTATAGAAAACTAAGGCATTATTGTCGTGACGCATGTAATCTGAGATGATACATAAAAGGAAGAGAAAGAAAAACGAAAATATTGTTTTCTCTTGTATCACACAACAGGATTGTTTGCTTGGAAAAAACGAAACGCAATAGGATGGACTAAAATTTCATGAGAACAGTGCTTGTATTTTGTTTTGATTTTGATGGTCAGCCGTTTACAGAAAACCAAACGTTAGAGAGCTTAAAAGGAACCAAATACTTTTTCTCATATTATCCACTGAAAAAAAATCAGAAAATGCCGAGAGATCTCGCGGTAAAAATTTCTACATTTGTCTGATAAGACTGAGTGTTTCTACCTCGCGAAATCTTTAGTGGGAAGAAACACGCCTTTTTATCAGACGAAACGTAGAGTTTTTGTTCGGATGAAAATCGTGTGAGCTCTCGCAAGATTTTATATAAAAATTCTAAAATGATTTTCTTGCAGAACTTCGCGTACATTTTTCTCAGGAGAACTGGCGTGGTTATTTGTGTTTTATAATTATAATGGTGAAGTTTTTTCTGATTTATAAGTTTATAAGACGAATGTACGGTTGGAGTATAATCTGCGCTTGTGAATTTTAGATTAACACTGCTATTTATATCGCTGATTGTGCAGTCACGATATTTCGCATGATCTTTATTCTCAATTGGCCATTTTCAAACCTTCTCATTATTACAACTGGTTACGGGAAAATACATTTTCCTTTATTAATTTTACCAAAAATCATAGATCTTAGAGTCCACTTTTGGAGTACACAGGTAAACTTTAATAAATCGGTTAGAATCACTTAGTAGTGACAATGATACTAGTTAATGTTACTTCTTTTCATTTATTGCAGCTCATACGCTCATGGCTATTCAGACATAACAGGCATCCGAGAATAAATGCGCCTTTCAGTATCCTGCCAATATCTGTGTCAATTTTTATAGGATTTCAAGCCTGAACTCAACGGAAACTTCTCTCTGATTCATAGATTTTTTAGTGGAATTGATCTGGCATAGTAAAGATTCAATTATCTACTCATGAAACTCACTGCCATTTTTCAGTAAGAATTGGACGAACATATCAAAATTTGATGGCTTTTTTCTAGAGAAGCAAGTCTCAAGATTTTTACATATTTGGAATGAGCGCGACGATTGTGCAGCGCAAAAAATCTCGTCTAAGTACGGACACTTTCGGACCCCGATTGTCTACTGTGGGTTCTCTCGACATATCACACTATATTCAATCGTAGACAATTTATCGCGCTACAATTTCAGCATATAAAATACTGAGAAAAGTGTCTTCGGGCTCCTTGGCATTAGAAATACTCCACTGCAGTTGCGTGAAAAAGCACTATAGAATGCCGGGAGAAGTCTTATTTTGCTCAGAACTTTTCGTTCTATCAGGCTATGTGGTTTGCAAAATTTTCTCACTAAAAACTATGGACGTGGTTTTTCAGAAGCTCTATTATCAATTTTTCTCGTGAAAGGCCGATATGCACCTAATCTGATAGAAACATCTTCGGGCTATTCATTGTTCAGATTGGTTCCAGCTTTTACGAAAAGGTCAAAAACAAGAGAGTTCTTGTGATTATGACACACTGTATTGCTTAGATAACCCCCAAAAGCTTCTTTTCATATCTTTCATGGCTGGCCCGACCTGTCTGGATATTGTGACTAGCTCACTTTGTACAGAATTTCAAGGGCTACCCAGTGGTATGTTTTCAAACAACACATAATTTTCATTATGGCAGAAAAACGACTAACGGAGTGTTGAAAGCACTAAGATACATCAAAATCATTATATCGGACAAGTATTTCAACTGTGGACCCATGTGGGCATATGTCTCTAAGACGTATTTATAGCTCATTTTGAAGCTCGTGAAATTCTCTATTGAATGCTATATCTATTGTAGTAGCTAGTTGAGAAACGTTGATTATAGGATCCCCACCGGGGAATTAGCCGCTCGCTTTTAACGGGTTTCCAAACAGCATTTCTAATGTCAAGCGATCCTGGG